GTTATGTTAAGCATAAAGGTAAGGAAGTTGTTTAACATGTTCTTGCATATGACGCTGATGAATAGCAAACGATCAAATTTGTTGGTGTTGAGTAATGATTCAAACATACCTCCACAAGAGTGAGCTATGGAAAACTTTAAGTCTATATTGGATTATGATGAAACTCAATCAGATGATGATAAAATTGAGCCCTAACATCCCCAAAAGGATAATTCTACATATTCTGATTCTAAAGAAACTACAACAACTCACTAAGGATGGATGATCCATTACGTGTGTTCAAAATGTCAACCCATAAACATAAGTCATCACTAGCCCATAACCCTTCATCACATACCAACAAGTTTCAATTGTTCAATGATAAATACTATATTAAGCTAGAATTAGGAATGAAATTGTGTAGATGAGAAATTTCATATTGTACCCAACATACGACCATGTCTCCATCATCGTCGGGCTAACGAAAAAGTGTTAAGTCACTTCATAAAATATTTTTTTATGCATAATGCAATAATGGTATTGTCAACGACTTACTGTTAGAGGTAATTAAATTAAACATCTATAATAATATAACTATATTTCACCTTTATATGACAAAGTGTTATTTTTTTCCTTTGTGTGTAGCTTGAAACGTCAGTTATCTCGTACATTAAGAAGATTCTTGATAGGAGCATTCGTAAGTATGCAACACGGAGGGTATAATAGATCGAAAGCAACCGTTATCAAGTGACTGATCACAATATGAACGGTATTGTTAGCCTATAAAAATAGACATGTACATATAAGAAATCACAATATACTCCTATAGTATGTGGTTATACGATAGAGGTTTTCAAATATCTAATATTTGCACACTATAATAAATTGGTCGATATTTCACAATGGAGATTTATCGAGCTACATAAATAAAGGTTGTACATCGCGTGTCAATGCCCATTGAATATGAACAACCATATGAAGTGATGGAAATTTTACCACTATTTATTAACAAACACTAAGCTAGACATCTATTGTATCCCATACCAAGGGAAGGAGGGGGTATGGTAATAAAAAACATGGCCGTTGCTAAACAAGTGGATCACACACACCTTACATGATGATTTTCATTCTCAATCGATCCAACAGTCATAATCATCTAGTATGAGTAAGTCTAAGTCTATATCTAATGTGAATGTTACTCAAAATTACATAGTCAACAATATTATATGCTATGAAGGTTTTTTATAGGAAGATCCATAAGTAAGCAACATGAAGGATATACTACATCGAAAAAATAACTATCAAGCGAATAACCATAAGAAGAATGGTATTATCTGATGGGTTTTAGGTACAACAAATAAACTAGAAAACAATTCCTAAGTTCACATGCAACCTACTTTGGATCTATGTTTTAACTATTGAACATACAACTTTGAATTGCAAAACAAGAACCCTAGAGGAGAGAGGCTAATTTCGAAATTAACAAACTAGGGTTTAGGGTTTACATACCTTTCAATTGTTATAGCAAACAATTGATAATCCCTTGATCTTGATCTTGATCTTCTTGGAAGCTTAGCACCACAAATGTAATGCCTCTAATGGAATCACACCCAAGAACTAGCAAGAAGGAAACTTGGAGGAGAGAGGATGGAGATAGTATGCAATTTCGGCCTTAGGGTTTCTTCCAAAGAAATAAGTATCCTAAAATGTGAGCCAGGAGGCTCCTTAAATAGTTGAGGGAACTAGGGTTTAGGGAAAATCCTAGTTATCCTTTGCTTAGGGCCTAAGCAAGACCCAAGGCCTTATCTTGGACCCCTTGGACGAATTCTCTAGGGTTTCCCCTAGGGTTTTCGTCCACCCCCTTCCAAGGGAGTTCTGGATCCTTCCATTCAACTATCAGTTAATTGCAAACTAGTCCCTGCACTTTATAATTAATTCTTTTAACCCCAAAATCAATTCTGATTAATTTCTGGCTAACAATTAATTAAACATAATGATTTCTAATTAATATATTAATCCATTAACATATTAATAAATCAATTATATATATATTAATTTATTAATCTTATAAATTAATATCTCTCCTTTCATAATTTCCTTGTCCAGTTGCTAGGTTGAGGGCAACCCAAAAGGACTGTGCTGCTATCAATTCAAGTACATACCAATTATAGTTATGGGCTTAGACACCTAATCCAACATTATCAACCAACAAACCTACAAGAAAAGACATGTACATTTAGGAAATGACAATGTATTAGTATACTATGTGGTCACACGTTAGCCACTTTCAAATATCTATGATTTATACACTACAATAAATTGGTCAAGAGTTATTTTAAAACGAAGATGTATCAAGCTACATACGTAGAGTTCGCATATTGTGTGCCAGTTTCCGTTGAATACACAACCATATGAAGTGATGGAAGTTTTAGCACCACTAATGGACAAATGCCAAGCTAAAAATCCACAAAAACATATGGTATATATTCCAATGGGAGGGTGTGAAAATTAAAAACTGTTATAACTGCCAACTACTAGAACACACACGCCTTACTTGTCCATTTTTACTCTCGGTCAATCCTACAAAGTTAAAATCAAGTACAAGTAATTATAAGTCTAAATATAAGGTTAATGTTACTCAATAGCATAGGCAACAATATCCTATAGTCACTTAGGCTGTGTTTGGCGCGCACAGCTAGCTGATAAGCTAGCTTATTTTTCGAGCTTTTTTATGTTGTCGTGTTTGGTAAACAAAAAAGTAGCTTATAAGCTAGCTTTTTTAAAAGCTGTTTAGACTAGCTTTTTAGGAGTTTTTTTTAAAATTTTCCAAATACACCCCTTAATTAATTATAGAAACACATACTCTTACATGTCCTTTTATGTAATTTTATATATTTCAGCTAGCTTTTCAGCTAGTTTTACCAAACGTTATTTTTTATCAGCTAGCTTTTCAGCTATCAGCTAGCTTTTTATTTAACAGCTAGCTTTTCAGCTATCAGCTAGATTTTCAGCTAACAGCTAGCTTTTCAGCTAGTACGCCGAACATTAGAGGTGTACAAACCGGTGTTTTTTTTCCGAACCGGTTCGGTTCAGTGGACCGGTTCGGTTCAAGTCAACAAAGTCAACACCGGTTTACCCTTAACCGGTTCGGTTTCAAACCGGTTCACCATCAAATTTATCCGATCCTATAGAAACCGGTTCACTTCAAACCGGACCATCTTAAACCGGTTCCTAAACCGGTTCAAAACCGGTTCTTCGAACATGTTATAAAAAACCGGCGGAAATTGTATCTTTTTTTGATTGTTTGTTTTATTTTTTGGGATATTATAGGTTATATATGTGTGGCCAATTGGTTAGAATTCTTTAATAGTTGACATATTAAAAAAAATAAAAAAACCCACTTAACAGTAGGTATGTATGTAATGTGTATGAAATTTGGTTTGTGCATATCTATTGAATTTAGACTCATTTCGGAGTAAATTTCGTGGGTATTTTTTTTTGGATATTTATATTGAAAGTATATAAAACATCTTCAAACATAAAAAAAACATCTTCAAACATCTCGAAAAACCGGTTCATAATCGGTCCAAAAACCGATTCATAATTGGTTCAAAAACCGGTTCATAATCGGTCCAAAACCGGTTCGGAAGTCCGGTTCATTGTAAATCGGTTCGAAACCGGTCCCATCGTTCGGAAATACGAATTGGTTCAAACCGCCGGTTCGGTTCGGTTCGGCATCAGATCGGTTCTAGCTTGGACCGGTTCAGAGGTGAACCGGTTTTCGGTTCGGACACCGGTTCGGATCGTGAACCGGTTTTTTTGTGCACCACTACCGAACATAGCCTTAAGTAACCATTAACAGTGTATGTTTGTTAGTTGCAATGTTATTTTCACAAAGTTAACATGCTATGTCATTCCTTTATATATGTATCATATTTTAATGAACATACTTATTTAAATAATAACTTCTAAGACAAATAAATACCAAAAGTTTTAACATTTTCACTATCATATAAGGCTAAGGGGAGTGGTAACACTCCTAACACCTTGTCACCTCAAATTTTTGAGTGACACCTCATTTTTGACCATTTAGCATGTAATCTTAGCATTTGGTAAGGAGTGGTAACACTCATAGCATTCCTTTTTTTTATTTTCTTTTTCTAATATAATTAAATTACTTTATTTTAATATAAAAACATTCTTTTTCACAAATTTTATTTTTTATATCACATACAATTAATATAATATAAATTATATTATTTTAAACCACATACAATTAATATAATAGAAGTTATATTTTTTAAACCACAAACAATTTTATTTTTTGAAATTAATCAACAATGGAACGAGGTGGCAAGAGAGTGTACGTAAATTATGATAATGTCTAAAAACTTTTTTTTGTGAGAAGTTGATAGAAATTAAATTGACAATTTAACTTTGGGTATATGGGGAATTAAAGTCAGTCAACCAATTTAAACAAGTCAAAAGCACTCGACCAATCAAAGAGCCTCATTCATTTCTCTCTCCTTGCGCCAAACCTTTAACAAATTGCTTTGAGCGAGCCCCCTAGCGAGCACTAGGGGGTGATATTCTCTTCTTCTTAGCGACCCTAGCGACTACTTAGCGAGCGTCCACTCCTTTTAGTCTAATAAAAGACAAGACATCCTAAACCCTACACTTTAATGGGCTAAGCCTCGCTCAATGGAGTAAGTGCTCATGCTTCTTCCTAATACAAACACGAGTCTCTCTCTCTCTCAAAATCAAAAAAAAAAAAAAAAAAACTTGGCGGGTATTATTATTTGAATGATCAATTACAAAAATAACTAAATATAAAGCCATAATACCGACTTTGGGTTGTGTTGCTATTCATGGGTCTGTTTCAAATATGAAAATGAAAACGAACAAAAGGGTATTTTTGGAAACTTAAAATGCATATCCATACCCATAAAATGGAAATCAAGCCACTTCTTTGGGTGGGGTTGGGGTTGTGGTTGGTAAATGGACATTTCTGACCCCATCGTGGATGGGATTACTATCCCTTGTTGTCCACATAACATCCTATCTCTTTCTCATACTCTTCTCTCACACACACAGAGGAAAGAAGCTATTGATGGAGAAGATATGGCAAAACTCAAGCCTCCTGCATTCAACATCTAAACAGCATCACCAACCACCACCGCCACCACTAGCAACCACCACCACTTCCCCTGCAGTTATCAAACTGTCGCGTAGACACCTCGCAATCTGCACCAACTCCTCCCTCCTCCTCCTCACTTCCCAATTTCAACCCACAGCAAAAGCACAAGAACAAACCCTATTCCCACCGGAAAATCCCCAAACCCTAGACGACAATCCAGTTGACACGACTAACACCACCACAACTCCCGCCGACGACAATCCACTTGACACTACCACCACCACTACTCCAATCGAAGCCAACCCCGTCGAGACTACCACCACCGCCACCCCCGTCGAAGAAAACCCAATTGAGACTAGCGCCACCACCACTCCCGTCGAAGAAAACCCTGTTGAGACTAGCGCCACCTCCAATGTAACCGAAGAGAATCAATCAGAAACTAGCATCACCGCCAGTTCCACCGACGAGACTAGTAGCGTTACCACCAAAGACGTTCCAGACACCAATGACTCCACCACCGCCTCTACCACCGTAGACAGCTGCACCGACAAACTTCCAACCAAGCGCGCTTTCCTAGACATATCAATCGACGGCAAACCCATCGGACGAGTCGTCATTGGGCTGTACGGAAACTCCGTCCCCACCGGAACTACTAGGTTCAGCGATTTCGTCAGTGGAGCAGCAGGTAATTTCCACTTTCAGTCCTCCAAGTTTCATATTTTTCATTTTACATCCAATCATTCCACTACGACAGGTGTGAGTTACAGAAGAAAAGAGTTCATAAAAATCACACCAAGCTACATCCAACACGGCGGCGTTAGATCATACGGCGTCGACGCTGAACTCGCAGCAAAAACCGGGAGAAGTTTTGCAGTCAACAATCTCGTTTCCGAATTAGAAAAAGAAAACGGAAAATGTCCGGGGACTAAAAACGTCGCCGGAACAGTTGGGATTATCGTGCGGGACCCACTGAAGCCGCCTCCGAAGCAAAAATTGGTAGCTCGAAATGGTAAACTGGTGATTGATGAAGAGGAAATCGGGAAAGAACCAAATGGGACGGAGTTTTTGATATCAACAAAAGATTCGCCGGAGTTGGATGCATCAACGTTGGTTGTCGGGAAGGTTCTAGAAGGTATGGAAGTTGTTGAGAAGATGAGTCAGGTTAAAACTGTTCAGGAAAACACTAGTTCTCCCTATTTCAGGTACTAAAATTTAAAAATTTAAAATTGAAAACTTAAAATCACTTTACTTTGTTAGTAATTTAGAGAAATTAATTAATGTCGTGAAACAGGGTGGCGAAGTTGATCGGAGATAAAAGGGCAGTGGTGGCAGAGAGAGGGTTTAACAGACCCTATTCAAAAGTAATTGTTACTAATTGCGGGTTAATGGCGTAATTTTTGAGTTGTACATCAAAATGTGTGTATTCTTGTTCTAATTTTTGATTACATGAAAGCCCAAAATTTTTGTGATTAAATGGAAAGTGAAGAAATAAAAATGGTTTAAGCAAACAAGATAATAAAATGTTACTTAACAAATAATTGAGTTTAGGTGGAGCCATGTGTGAACTTGTGTCTTTTAGCTGAGGGGGGTGTGAGAAGCTTTTTGACAGAACCAACAGGATCTGACACCTGTAAAAAAAGATTTAACGGATGATTAGAGGCTGATGGCGTGTTTTGTAGTTGGAAGGAATGGAATCAGTGAAAGGAATGGAATGTTGAATTCCAATGGAATGGGTCTACCTGAATGAGTGAAGATGAAGGTTGTTGGGGTGTGGGTGATGGAGGAGAGAGGAACTCTTTCTGGCGTTGTAGAGCAGAAAGAGTTTGTTTCCATCCAGGTGCAGACTTCCCAGTTGATGTGATCCAGGGGCAAAAATGTCTATGCTGCTTTATTGGATCAAACTCCATTGCTTTTGTACTTGTAGTTGTAGCTGCTGGATTTGGTTGAGTTGAAGTTGAATCCTTCCCTAAAACAATAATAATAATAAAGGGTAAGAATTAGGATTTAGGAATGAGTTAAATATCTCAAGCAAAAGGTATATAACATATGAGAAAAAAAAAAAAAAAAAAAAAAGCAAACACTATAAACAACAACCTTTAACTTGAACAAGAAAGCCAGTAATCAACTTACCTAAATAAGATGAACTTGAATCACTCACAACCACGCTTGAATCCAACACCTTCTGATGATCTACAGAAGAACTTTCGCCCTCATTATCATCAATTCCAAATCTTCCTCCCTCTTGATGATTATCAACATTTGGTATACTATTCAAACTTTTGATAACAGACACGTCAGCAGCAGATTCAAAAGCAAATGAAAACCGAGTCCTCAAATTTTGTCCAACAACAGGCAAAGAAATTGTGGGCCGAAAGTTCTGATCTGCTGGTGGTGGGCCCCCTGCAATTGTCAAATTCAAAACACTTCTATTCACTGTTTGTTGTTGTTCAACATTTGGTTGTTGCTTATTTTCAGAATTTGAATCTTCATTTAATTCTTGTCCAATAAGTCTGAAAAACTCTGGGGGCTGAGGAGTTGTACGAAAAGCCCATAGGCCAACTTTAGCTCCACAAAGTCTGCAGACTAGAACTATAGATGTATGATCATATTGCTCAATTGTAGAGGGATCATTGTTTGCATCCAGATTTGAAGAGTATACAGTTATACTTGAATTGTGTTTGATGGATTCATCTTTTTTTAGATCTTTGCAATCAACTATGTAAGGAAGCAACCGAGGCTCCCATCCACATAAACTGATCACCTTTTGTGCCTGAAAAAAAAATGCATGAATAGAATTTAGCATAATGTCAAATGTAAATTCGATATGTTGTATATACATTATTTTTATTTAAATATATGATAGATTGAATATGGTTAAAGCTTATTAAATTTAAACCGCAGATAAGTTATAAAAAAGGGCAAACTAGAAAAGTAATAGATTAAACATGGTTAAAGAAAAACTGAATCACATAAATAAAAATTGGGATGTATAACTTATAATGCAATTTGTCATTCCATTCCATCAGTCAAAATGGACATTTATTTTTTCATTTCCAATGGAATGAACCATTCCATTCCTTCTCAAATTCCACAAACAAAACACTGTCTTATTAGAATAATAAAGTTATCATACCTGATAATACAAGACAGGAAAAACTTCTTCCCCTGTTGTAGAAGCATTATCAGATCCATACACATTCTCTAGAGTTGGAGAGTTTTTAAGGAAGTTTTCCAACAATGGGCTCCACATGTAATTAATGGCTGTTGATGAGATCACAGGAAGCTCCAAAAGTTGTAATAATGATGCACATCGTTTCTTGTAGTTATCAACCAAATCTACAGATGAACTAGGAGGAAACTGTGCTAGCTTCTCATCACAAGCATTGTCAACCCATGGGCAAAGTAATTTATGTCCATTATTCAGCTTCAAGCTGAAAACCGAGGCTGCATTCTCAACTACATTACATATAGAAGAAGATTATCATTCAAAGTAATGGTTCTTGAAAGTAACAATGATTGTATGATGAAATCATGAAAAGCATTTGGTAGTGAATTACCTTGTTGTTGTGCCCATGATGATGGAGTAGAAAAGAAGAGACGGGCCCCACATGATTCACAGGCTATAATGTCCATATCTACATTAACCCAACCTCTCCTTGCACAGTTTATTGCACTTACTACCTGATGAAAATAGATAATGTTACCCAAAAATTGACAATGAAATGGAAAGAATCAAAGAAAGAGAAAGAACTTCCTACAAGAGTATATCAATAATCAATCTAACTACTACTGAATCAAAAAGTTTATCTAACCTCAGGTTTAGCAAACCATGTCATGGACTTGAATGTAGCAAGCCTATTCAGTAAGTCGTCTCTGTCCCATGGTCTGCACATGGGTGATTGCAATGTCTCACCAGATGCCTTTCTCAACTCCTCAATTGTACCTCCTATGGATTTTGAATAAACTACAGCTAGAGGTGTAGTCATCATATGTGAGCGCTTCTTGCCTCTGAAAAATCCAACTGCAGTTGCACTATTCAAGTAAAAAGTGATTACAAATACTCCCGAAATTGCTAGCGAAAAAGCTATAATTGTCTAGCATTGTGATTCGCAGACACAAATTTGGTATTTACTTGGTTTCTAATCTACCATCGATAACCGTAGTCGTAGGATTCATATCGATTTTAGTGTCCAAGTAGGCAATTGACCTCCAAAACAAATTACAGTTCGTTGTTCAATATAATGGACGGAGTATAACTGTATAAGCATTTGTATTGTATGAAAGTGTATATGATTTTCAGATGGATAAACCCTAACGAACTGAAACAAGCCCTCATTTGGTTGTGAGTCGCGTATTTGTGTCGAGTAAAACGTGATTCAAACGTTAGAGCTATAATTGGATCAATACAACGAATTACAGGATTCTTCAAGCAAAATTTCAGCTGGTGAATTGAACTGTATTGAAAAAAAAAACATACTTAAAGGAAAATCATATACCTAGTCGAACTGGGAGTTCTTGTGGGTTTTGAATTGGGAGGAGGGGCAAAGAACAGCTTATCCATGACGGCGTGAAATCTCTTCTCTGATTCTTCAGCCATTGAATTCAACAAATTATAAACTGAAAGCTCTCCTCGCTGCTACGTTAACCTCCGCGTATATTCCAGCTTCTAATTTGCTACTTCTGCTAATGCAACGTCTTGAATGATAAAAGGGTTATTCTTAAAAATATCAGATTGGGCCTTCAAAAATTATTACAATTTATTTTACAAAACTGGACTTTAAAATATCATTTTACTTAATGAAATTACATTTATTTCACAAAATTGTTTATAGATCCTTTGAATTTTGTGACATTGAGATTTAGGGAGGAACTTACATGACTCCACCATATTATTTAGACCGATAAGGATTAATTCCATAGAAAATCTTATATTTTGAATTTTTTTTGATCTAGAATTTTTTTTTTTTTTTTTTTTTGAAAAATACCTAATTTTTACGTGCTCTTTGTTGTTTCAGACCCGAGCAAGTCAACAATAAGTAAACTGAGTTTGTTCTCAGTAGCAGAGCTTGAAGTTTTGATTTGGGGGCCGGAAATAGAATATGTATAAAATTTGAAGAATAGGGAGGTCAAAGTCAAATTTTATAGTTTTAGGCATAATATATAACTTTTTAAATAGTTATGGACTAATTGTTAAAAAAAAAAGGGGCCACAGCACCCCGTGGCCATATATAAGTTCCGCCCATGTTTGTTCTTTTCATAAAATACCTTATATTTTGTAATTTTTCCGATTTAAACCTATTTTTTTAAAACAAACTCAACTTTAACTTATTTCTTATTATTTCATTAATTGAGTCGGTTACTTTCTGTCTCACGACAATAAATGGTACACATATACCGATTTTGAACAGATTTCGTTTTTTTTTAAATCAGTTTAAAATAAAATCGATTATGTTTAGGCCATTTTCGTATTTTTTGGGTTTTTAAGTGAAAGTGCATTAAAAGGGTTGTCGATTAGGTTATAGTACAAAATCATAAAAACAACCGGTTTAAAATATTTATTAAAACCTATTACTAACCGATAACGTTAGCTAGTCGGTAGACTGGAGTTAAGAAATTAATCGGCTATACGAAGATTAATATAATGTCCCGAAAATCACGACATATATTTTTTATTTAGATTAATAAATCATTAATATATTTCTTTCACATAAAACAAGGTAACCATGATTTAGCAAAACATTATCAAATCAAAGTAATTCACAGAATGCGGAAACATGTGGTGTGTTGCAATCATCCCGAGCTCTTCCATTTGAAAACCGGAGTACCTGAAACACAAACTGAAAACCGTAAGCACAAAGCTTAGTGAGTTTCCCCAAAAGTACCACATATCATAAAACCACAGAAATATCATTCAATATACATATAGTTGCCATGGGCTACCCCCAAGGTCTTTACCTGGAATGTCATGGGCTCCCCCATGGTTTGATATCCAAGTGTCATAGGCTCCCCCCCCCCCATGGTATTGACGTGGAATGCCATGGGCTCTGTTAGGTGTGTCAAACCCAACAAATAATAGGGGTACAACAGACTCCAAATACACTGCTTTAATGCACTAAAAGGTGGTACAAGGCAAGCAGGGTCGAACCACAGAGACACGGGATAAAAGTCTATACCTCTTTGCGCAAGATACTTTGGTCACAAATGGGGATTTGTTTGCAAAAGTCAAATAATAAAAATAACAATACACTTTGAAACATGTAGAAAATGAGATAGATTTGTAAACAAGTTGTAAAAGTGCTTCCAGTTCTAGTTCTCAATGTTGTCATTTAACCTGATTATGACTTGATGTAATTTGTGATTGCTATTCTAAGTTGGTACTGAAAGATATTAACACGCTCTAATACCTCTCGCTTTCCAAATTATCTAGCCAAAACACGCTCTTTGACTAGACCTAGCTTTACTAATACAACCTAAACACGCTCTTAGATTGTATTGAAAAACTGCATTAAGTTTTGTACAAGCTTCCCAACAATGTCCATTTCTTCTCATACGCTCGGAAGTGTGAAAACATGTGATAAATGTTCTACAATAAGAAAACCTATTGTTTGTTACCAATCATTGACTTTGTAGAACGACTAGGTGCCATAAAAGTTAATTAACTACACAAAAATTCAATTCATGAAAGTGACCAATCAAACACAAATCAAATTTAAGGATTCTAGTTTAAACAAGAACATAATCACTAGAATAGAATCACAAATCAAACATCAAATCACATGCTTCAAGTCAAGCAATCAACATGTTTTGAACAAGAACTAGAAACTAGGGTTTCTTAGCCACGCATGGCTAAGAACAAATCAAACAAGAATAAAGATGGAATTGGAATGTTTAATGCTTACAAAAATGAAATCAAAAGTGTTTGCAATGATTAGGTCTTCTAAAAAACTCCAAGAAATCTCCCAAAATCGCCCAAGATCACCCTAAGTTGCTTTAGAAACCGTCTATCCCTTCAAAATGACGTTCTTGTGTTTTTAATTAAAGTTCACGTGCTTTCCATAAGACCATGCGTTTTTGGCATGACCATGCCTTTTGCCCATGTGTTTTTGGCATGGCCATTTGTATTGACCATGTGTTTTTGGCATGGCCCATGCTTTTTGCTAAAATTCCAAAAAGTCTTCACTGTTGGATCCATCTTCAATCTAGCTTCACCACGAGTCATGTTGCTCAAATATAAGATGAAAAAGGACAAACACGACCTGTGTCGGTGTGATAAGAATCGTGTTTCAAACATAGTCCTTTGCTATGACAATAATGCATAATGACTCGGGTTCCATCTTCATGTTTTCTACGATGGAATGACCGGTTCATCTTCTCTTCATGCTCCAAAGCTCCAAGCATCCATACATCCATGCATCCATGCATCCAAGCTCCACGTTCCATGCTCCATAATGCCTGCAAAATAAATCAAAAATGGTGAAGTACCAGACATTCTTAATGAAATATGCAGTTGCCCAAATAATTAACTAAATGCAAGAATTATGAAGTAGAATGCTATGAAATGACAGAAATAACATGCAAAATAGGTGCATAAAATGCACCTATCAGACCTCCCCAAGCTTAGACCTTTCTTGTCCTCAAGAAAGAACAAAATCGAGAATCACCCTAGAGAAGACGATAGGCGACTAAAAAGAAACTAAGAAGAAACTAATGGAAGGAACGAAAAGGACTAAATGGAATGAAGAGTGAATGCATGCAATAAAAGAAAGAAAAAAAACTAATGAAAATAACATATGTACAAACAAAATATGCTTAAGAAAAATGAACCGAAGAAAAATTCAAAAACACAAATAATATTAATATATATATATATAATATATATATATATATATATATATATATATATATATATATATATATATATATATATATATATATATATATATACGATCAGACTTTACATCGATGGGGCTCCAATCACTAATACCTAGGCGACCATCCTGCTACCTTTCATGTATCACAGACTCCCAAAGTGAGGAAGACCACGAAACGATGTAGCCCAATAATCCAACCATAGTTTTATTTAAACTTTATACCTTAATTAGCTTTGTGAGCGAAAATAACATAGTTGGGATCTCATGTCCTTAAGACTAGATAGTCAAGAATCAGAATCAACACATCCTTAAGAACCCGTCACGGCAAATCAGCTTTCGCCGAAGCAGTGAGCCCACCCGAAGGGGCCCAGCTCCTATGCTTTCACCTTTTCAAGAGCCACAAGTATCATATCACACAGTTCTTAATTCGCCAGATTTTACTTTGAGATGGCTTCTGGTTTGATTGAACTTGGATTTGTATCTTCGTTTTGAGCTTGAGTTCTTCAATCAACTTTTTGAATTTCTTAAAATTTCTTCGATTGAGCGCTTGAAATTTTGATTTGGGTACCGAATATGACGGCTGTACCCTTTCTTCATTCTTGACTGTGTGGATCTGATACTTAAGCTCTCTGTTACCGCGAGGGTAACGCGTGTCAACAAATAGGTCCGTGTTCTGTGGGTCCAGATTTGTCGATAAAGATTCTTTTTAAACATTCAGAAGCAAATCATCCTAAAGCTGTTATTACCACTCACAAAACGTTTTAGTATTCAATTTTTTTTATTATCTAAGGCTGGGGTCTCGAATTACGGTGTTTGGGTCCCCTAGTTATGAAAGCTGATTCTACACTTCCGGTAACTATCCGGTCGCTTCTGTATTTTTTTTTCATTTTGATTTCTCGTTTTCCCACTTCATGGAGCTATTGTATGTAAAGATTCTCCTCATCTCGTTTTTTTTTGTGTGTGTGATTAACAATGAAAAATGCAAAGAAAATGAGAAAAAGAAAAAAATGAAATTTTTTCTTGAATGCTTTGAAATGAATGCACGAAAATTGAAAATAAGAAAAGTAAAATCTTTTTTGGATTTTTTTTGAATGATGAAATGCATGTAGCAATTAGAACCTAATGTACAAAGACCCCTCCCCAAGCTTAAGATTAAGCATCATCCTCGATGCTCGGAGAGGGTAGGGCAACCTACTGACCACGAATGTATAACTATATAGAGCATATGAACGAATTCTCAACAATTCTAGTCAAACAATCTTAGGATTCACGCATCAAACTTGAGATATGGAAGGAATGTACCAGTCAAATGCTTGAATTTGTGATGTGTACTTGACTTTTTCACTTCATCTTCAACCTCAAGAAAAGCTTGAACACATCAATGGTGGAATGCATAATCAGAGATGAAAGCTTCCAATCTTCCTTCCAAAACACCTCTTCAAGCTTGCTCTTGAAACCCTATATAAGAATTTTGAAACTTAATACAAGAATCAATTCAAACTTTACAAATCAAAAACTAGGGTTTATGAAGAGAAATCTGATTTTACACTTCCACCGGGAGAATTCGACCTAGATGATGAAGGAGATGAAGTTAGGAAGTTAAAACAACATACATTTGTGCCTTAATATCGGATTAATTGAAAGAAATTGAACCCTAAACTAGGGTTTGGAGGGTTCTCGGTCAAAGAATGATAGAGGGGAGGAGACGCACGACTATGAGAAAGATAGAATATATTTTTTTCCAAAAACGCACGTCTAAAGCAAGAGATGCCCGTGCGAATTAAGCATGGTCTGTGTGGTTTTTGCATGGCTC